CTATGGTCATAGGATTGTGGTTTGGAAAGACCAAACCTAAAATGGAAATATTTTTGAAACAGTTTGTACACCTTATGAACAAATTTGCAAGCGAAGGAGTCAAGTGTAAGTTTAGTGATTCAGAAAAATGCATTAAGGTTTATACTGTTTGCGCGTGTGTTGATTCTGTTGCTCGGGCGCCTATGCTAGGTGGTGTTCAATATAATGGGTACAATGGGTGTGGATGGTGTAAACATCCAGGTGTGTATGTACCTGTTGGTCGAGGTGGAAGTATCAAATATCCTTTACTAGAGTATGTTCCCGAAAATAGAACAGAGTTACATGTTCTGCAATGTATGAGGCTTAGTTTGACGTCATGTCACCCAGTTAATGGCATTAAAAATCCATCACCAATAATTAATCTGAAAGGTTTTAACATCGTATCAGGTTTCGTACCTGATAGCATGCACAATATTTGTTTGGGAGTAGTAGAGCAATTTTAAAATTATTGGATCAATAGCTCTAATCAGCAGTATTCATTAACCAGCGCTGAAATGAACATGATAAGTGAAATGTTGATCAATATAAAGGTTCCCACCAAAATTTCCAGATTATCAAGGGCATTAGACGACAAAAGTTGGTGGAAAGCCAAAGAATTTGAAAATTGGTTGTGGTACTATTGCATACTAACATTATCGTGCATTTCACACATGTCCCCGTACGTGAACAACTTTTCTTTACTAGCACATGGATATTATTTATTGAGTATGAACAAAGTCAGTCATATGCAAGTCCTGGTTGCCAGGTATAAGTTATTTAAATTTGTTGCTGAAACCGAAGAATTGTATGGACCATCAGCGATGAGCTTCAACGTTCATCAGTTGATGCACCTAGCACAAAGCGTCTTAGATTATGGTCCACTTTGGAGTCATAGTGGTTACTGCTTTGAAACTGGAAACGGGCAACTATTACGAAAAGTGCACGCAGCCAAAGGGGTGATTCATCAGTTATGCAGGACTTTAAATATGAAACAAGCTGAGTATGTAATTAAAGAACATATAAAAAATAATGCTCACTCTAGTTTACAAGGATTTATTTCT